TAACGACGACGGAGGTCCTCCGGAGGTCTACGCCCGAAGATCTTCGGAGATCTTTGCTAAAAAAATTTCCTGATGAAGCAGCTATGAATACCTATTCAATATTAATAAAAGAGGTATTGGGTAATAATGATATTAATTTCTGAATACATTTAGGATAATTATATTTATATTGGATAAATGTATTAGCAACTATATTAGATAAATCAATTATAATTTCTTTAGGATAGATAATAATTGGTTGAATTTTGGTTTAAGAGTCATAACTGTTGGATGGTTTAAAAGAGCAAGGTGATGTAGAAGGTTTATTGGAGTTCCATTTAATTCTGATATATGAAGATATGTTGGCTATAGAGTAGTGTAGTTTTCAAATAAGATTGTATAACTAGGTTATGACTTTATTAGTTGTCTCGATCCAGTTGAAGAAGTCTGTTAAAAAAAAGATTTTATTTGTAAAGCCATAGGATAGTTTGGCTATTTGTCATATACAGTATATGAGATTGGTGTTTAATTGCTGTTTGGATAAAGAATTTGATTGATATTTTTAATTATTTGGTTGGTTTCAATAGAGGTCTTAGGGCATTTAAAGATATAATAGATATTCTCAGTATGGAGTTTACATCTTGATTAGAATATAACTGGTGAAGGGTTTTGCAAGTGAGCAGAATACTTGAGAGTAGTTTGATTCTGAATGTGATTATATTGCTATAGCTGTTATTATGCAGTTTTTTGATGTCCTTATTGGATTTGATGATAACTTTTAGGCCATGTGGAGTATACTCCCATCCAAAAGTTTAAGTAACAGAAGAACTTTCGCATATCATATAGTTTCTAATAATACTAAAGACTTTTTTGCACCACCTAACACTACTGCCAAGGCATGTGTTGTTAATTAATGAGTTTTCTGAAAAGTGTGATAAAGAGTTGTTCCATTGAAAAAATCTGATTGATGGTGGTTTGGATTTAGGTTTGATATATACATGTTGCTGAAATTTGTAGATCCTTGATACAATTGACACAATTATTTGATGCAATTAATTGAATTACTATTAAAACATATAAATAATTGAGTCATAACACAATTATTTTTGAGAATTTTGAAAATCGAGTCAATAGAAAATAATTTATGCCACATATATAGTTTGATATATATTATTTGTTTTGATTTTTGTTATATTTGATGAATTATTTTTTGGATTAGTGTTGAAAAGTTAATTTTTATTATTCTTCTAGAGTATTCAAGAACTGGTTGAAGAATTTTTTTGTTACTTTTGATTTTGATGATATTGTACTGCTGATTTCATTGGACAATATCGAATATTACAAGTAGAATATTGCCTGGTAATAAGCAGGGATTAAGAAATTCAACTTTGGTATTATTTATAATTAGATTATTTTTATAAAGCTGTATATGAGTATACTACTATAAGTTGAGTTTTTGCAAAAAAGTCTGGAAAAGGGGAATAGTAGAGATATTGACTTCTTATAGAATAAGTTTATTGTTCTGTGGTAAGATAAAGATTTCATCTGTTATACTGAATAGACAGTATTTTTGATTACTGAATAGATTAGTTTGAACCTATAATGTTGAGACCACTGTACTTGTGAACTCTAATCAATAGAATTCTTGAAAGAGTGAGCCAGCCAAACAGCCTAAGCATCTAATCAGGGTGTTATTGGGATTTATTGTAAAGTATTTTCCCTTAAGTGGAGTATTTTCTTATATTGTTCAATATCTTTTGTGAGTTTTTATTATTGTATTGGTATTATAGATAAGCCAAAATGTTAACTTGGAATTTGATATTGGACTGTAAGATCCTTTTAGATTTTTGATATTTGTGAATATTTTGAACCAGTTAGGTTTTGGACCAGAACAAATTATGCTTGTATAGATGGCAAGCTATGGCCATATGAGTTTGATAGAGCTTTGAAATTTTAGTAGTTGATTAATAAATTTTATATTGAGAGTATTTGTTATGCTGATTGCTGTTTTTTTGAACTGGGATTGGAAAGCAAAAAATAAAAGTCCAATCGTGTTTTTAGTATTGTTAAGATGAAATAAATATTCTATAGAACAGATTTGAGTTTTAAGATCTTTGGCTGATTTTGCTATATAGAAAATCCAGCTATCTTGATTAAACTTCTCTGAATTGCAGATAAGGCAGAACCAAATTGCTTCTTTTGTTTAGATGGATTGAATTTCTTGTAATGTGTATTTTCTAATGGTAGAAATAGAGAGTTTAGAAATTAGATTGTCTATTAGTGTAGTCTTTTGTCTTTCTTCTAATATTGTCAGGTTGAGGCCATCATGGCTTGTCAAAATTGTATTGAAACATTTGGAGAAGATTTTATATGCTGACTTGATTAGCTTATTGATTTTCATTTATAGAAATTTAAGAGTTGACTTATTGAGAAAAGAAGAAAGTAAGAAATATTTGAATTTTTCCATGACAACCCAATCATTGATTTGTTGCTTAATTTCTTCTTTTCACTTGCTTTTATATTTTCAAAAATAAAAATATTAAAAAATAAATATATATATATTTAATTTAATGTTTATTTATTGAAAAAACATAAAAATTATACATATGTTTTTTAAAAATATAAATAAAAATATATTTATAAAATATATTTATAAGTAATTATTCTAAAATATTTTATTTTTTATATATTTAACTTATTAATATTGTAATATTGTTTGTTATTTAAAAAAATATTATTACTTTATTAATTAATTAAATACATAATTATACTACTTCAAAACCATTTTTAACTTGAATTGTTGTTGTACAAGTATTGTTTTGATATATATAAATATAAAAATAATAATCAATTTTTTATGTGTCAATGTAACGGCTCTTCTTGATTAGGCAAAAATATTATATCCAATCATATTCTTCCGTAAGATTTCCTGTAAATTTGCCCAGAAAATATTTTTTTATATAAAAGCGACTTGCCCCTTAGTTGGCCGTGGCTTCTCCCGCCTTCCCCCTACTATATATATACCTTTGAGACAGTGTTCCAACAAAAATAAAAAAACAAAAAAAAACAAAAAAAACCAAAAAAATTATTTTCACGCCTTTACTGTCTATTATAAAAAAAAAAAAAAAAAAAAACAATAAATCCTTTATAGGTTCCTTCCAGATTAACCAACCCTAAAGATTCTCCACTATCCTTTGTTACGAATCCCTTAAACCATAAAAACCTTTGGTAATCATCATGTCCGCTGCAGTTTCTACTTCCTCTACCACCGGTCCCAGTGTACCTGGCATGGCGACTCCTGTTGCCCAACTCTCGGAGCAACAACAACAACAAATTGCCGCCGCCCAAGCTCAGGCTGCGGCGCAAGCACAATTCGGTCCTCCTCCCACTGCCCCTCAAGCCTCTGCCTCTCTTTACGTCGGTGAGCTGGATCCCTCGGTGACTGAGGCTATGCTTTTTGAAATCTTTAGTACAGTTGGTCCAGTCGCCAGGTAAGAAGACATTCTTTCTTGTTTTACCACTATATTTTCATTTATCAAAATTTGATTCGAGAAAAATTTCTTTTTATAGTATTCGTGTGTGTAGAGATGCCGTTACCCGGAGATCGCTTGGATATGCGTATGTTAATTTCCACAGTGTCGTTGACGGTATGTGAATATTATTGATCCAAATGCATTTTAATCATAAATCGAATCATAAAATATAGCGAACTCAATTTACATCTAAATCTAAACGCATATGCTGTCGCATTTACTATAAAAAATTTAAGCTTAATTGATATTCTCTTTGATTTTCGAGACTCGATCATAAATAAAATAAACTAGAAGTATTTTACATTATTTTCTCTTTTTTTTAGGCGAACGTGCACTTGATACCCTGAATTATACTGTTATCAAAAATAAGCCTTGTCGTATTATGTGGTCACAACGTGATCCAGCCCTTCGCAAGACTGGTACTGGGAACATATTTATCAAAAATCTCGATAAAACAATTGATAACAAGGCCCTTCACGATACGTTTACTGCTTTTGGAAATATCTTAAGTTGCAAGGTTGCCATGGAAGATGGATATTCTAAAGGTTATGGCTTTGTTCATTATGAAACCGCTGAGGCCGCTGAGAACGCTATTAAAAGTGTGAATGGGATGTTACTTAATGATAAGAAAGTGTATGTTATTTCCTTTTGGTAAAGTTGTAATAATAATTTATATAATAATATTTCTTACCGTTCTTTCACAAACGTTATTTTTAGTTATGTTGGTCATCATATTCCCAAGAAGGAACGCCAATCTAAGCTTGAGGAAATTAAAGCCAAGTTCACAAATATTTATGTAAAGAACTTGGATGCTGAAGTTACAGAAGAAGAATTTCGTCAAATTTTCATGAAATATGGAAAAATTACATCTGCTGTCATTTCTTTTGACGAAGCAGGTAATTCAAAAGGGTTCGGCTTTGTCAATTACGAGGATCATGATGAGGCAGCCAATGCAGTAAACGAACTCCACGATACTGAGTTAAAGGGTAAGAAGCTTTTTGTTGCACGTGCACAGAAAAAACACGAACGTGAAGAAGAGTTACGAAGGCAGTACGAACAAGCCAAGATGGAGAAGCTCAACAAATATCAAGGAGTGAATCTTTATATAAAAAATCTTGAAGATGACATTGATGATGAAAGGTTACGTCAAGAATTCTCCGTTTATGGTGTTATAACAAGTGCAAAAGTGATGAGAGATGAACGACAACAATCAAAAGGATTTGGTTTTGTTTGTTTTTCATCCCCCGACGAAGCTACCAAAGCCGTAACCGAAATGAATGGGCGAATGATTGGCAATAAACCAATCTACGTAGCATTAGCTCAAAGAAAGGATGTGCGAAAATCTCAATTAGAAGCCCAAATTAATCAAAGGAACCAAATCCGTATGCAGCAACAGCAAGCAGTAAGCATTATTAAGTGTAATTTCGTATATTATTTAAACAATCGTATATAATTTTAATTTGAAATATAGGCTGTTGGTATTGGTGCCGCTACTGCGTATGGTATGCCTGTTGGGTATACTACTCATCCAGGATCGTATGGAATGAGAACTGGTCGTCCTACTCATTTTTATGGTCAAGTCGGCATGATAAATGCCGTTCCTGCTACAAATCCTAATATCCGCGCTAATAACTTTGGGCAATTGGTTAACAGTAATCGTCCTAATGGTAGACCTCAGAATAATCCTCAAAATTCAGGAAGAGGCAATCCAAACGCTAATCGTGGTGCGAGAAATCAATATCAACCAACTGCTAAGCAGCATAACCAGTTCGGGCAAAACAATCGCGTTAGCAACGGTCAAGGTCCATCAAATACTCGCAACAATAATTCTATGACTCAGGGCAATGTTTCTACCGTGAGCTCTGTGTTTGATGCTCGTAAGTTCGCTGGAGTTACGCAAGAGGCTCAAAAACAACTTCTCGGCGAGCAACTTTTCCCCAAAATTTCATCGCGTCAACCAGAATTGGCTGGAAAAATCACTGGAATGTTGTTGGAGATGGATAATGGCGAGTTGTTGCATCTGCTGGAAAGTCCAGGGGCCCTCGATTCTAAGGTAAATATCATGTTTTCGGTAGTTAATTTAGTCATTTATATAATTGATTATCTGATTTGCAATTGTATAGGTCGAAGAAGCTGTTAATGTGTTGAGACAACACGCAAAGGCTACGGGTCAAGACTTCCCCTTGTCGGATTAATAAACGTAAGCTTAATAATGCATACTTCCAGATATGTTTTCGTTTCATTATATTAAAAAAGTATTTGCTTTTTATTAAAAGGTCGAACAGGAGAGAAACGTAAGAATTATTTAATAAAACAATACTGGCAATTACAATTCATTTTTTTTTTCCTCCCTGGTCCGATCTTTTACTGCTCTCTCGTAATTTATAAAACAGTACTATATATATTTTGCATGTGGAACAAAGTACAAGGGCTGGAGGAGTGGAAATGTATATGTAAAGTAGTATTTGTGATCTATTTAGTTATCTCGATCTTTTTCTCTCCTATATTAATTGAAGTGATTCATTTGAACTTGATTATTCTAATATGGACAATTTTCCGTCTTTCATTTGAGACTCAAAATTCAAATTCCACCTTTCCTCTTATCCCCTTTATAACTAATATCTTTGATGTCCTTTACGTTTTTTATTTACAATACATTTGGTTTTTTTTTTTTTTTTAATAATAATAAATCTTTTGTTGGAACATTTGTGCAAGGGAAAACAATTCATTTTTACCGTAAAAGATGAGTGAAATTTGTTAACACGTGATTATCTTATAATTGTTTATTACAATACAGTATATTTTTGAATAACATATGTTATTAACTAATAGAATGGGCAAAGTTTAACTTATTTATTTTATTATTTTTTTTTTTGACAGGTGGCATATATTTAATTTTTTATATAAACTATTAATTATAATGTAATAATTATTTGTATATATTTTTAATTAGTTGTTTAAAAAAATTTATTATTTAGCTTGTTTAAATTTATAAAAAAATATTAAAACTAATATTAAACTAAACTATTAATTTATTACAAATTTAATATATAGATTATAAATTATCTAAATATTTTTATTTTTATTTTTATTTAATTAAATTACAAGTTAGTTAAATTATTATAATATTATATTAAATCTAAATTATTTTATTTTATAAAATGCTTATTAGCAAGTTATTTATAAACTTGTATATAATTATTGGATTTTTAATATTAAAACTATTATATTAAATATATAATATTAATTATAAGTAAATTACTTTTTTTTTTTTTTTTTTTTTTTTTTTTTAAACCCTTGCCGTCAACTCAGGTACCTTTTGTATCACCTTACTAGTCTCCTGGTGTTTCTCCGGGATACAGGGGGTGA